GGTTACAATTCGTTAAATCAACTTTGTCAGTTACCCCTGCCTTCTTGCTTTTTTAAAAGCAAATGGTAACAGCCATGCGTTTTGTCTTATTGAAAGGGTTATGCGTTTTTTCTTTTTAAAATGTTTTAAAGCAATAAAATTCAGTTACATTTGGGAAAGCCTATAAATAGGCAGCCTCCATTTCTATCAAAAAAATTTTTTGGATACAATTTCATGATCTGCACTCTTATTTCATAAACATAATATACAAACTCTCTTTAGGCAAGGAAAAGGTGATGGGGTAGAGCTTTCTTTACAAGAGTACAGTACTTGTAAAGACACAACAAGGAGGTTGGGCTGTTGTATCCTGGGGGTGGCGTGACCATAAAAATCTGCTGCACCAGTGGCACGAAATGTCCTAAAGAGAGTGATTGATCCACGCCTCAGCTCAAACTCCTCATACTTTCGGTGACATCTTTCTATTTTTTATTTTCATCTTTAATTAATTATTTTTTGATATTCTTTGTCTATTTTCTTTTTGTTTATTTTTTATGAGGAACAACAATTTTAGGACGTTTCGATATGCAAAACAAAAATGGAAACATTTACCACCTTGTGTAAGTAGAATACTTTCTTGATTATGTGTGTGTCAAGCAGGTATGGTTTCTGACGCTCTTGCAATATTTGATGCTTTATCTATTTAGTGAATCATTATCCAATATTCTAATTGTATACTAGAAATGTTGGAAACTTGGAATGAATACTTATGGCTCCATGAATTTTCTTCAATTAAATACACGGAGGTATTATCATTGTATAGCTTGCCTAGATTGTAACTATTAGCATGAGTAATTCTTGTTTTGTATTTTAGTAGTATCATCATGGAATAACCGTTCTGTCAAATATTAATTTGGCACATTAAATTTGTGATTCCACTCAATTAGTAGTTTGATGATGACATACCAACCATTTGACATCCATTCAATATTTCTATAATTATTATATAAGTTACTTGGGTGTTTTGACATGGTTGTTCTGATGAATGACTTTATTTCTAACGGTTAAAAAAAAAATCAAAAAAAAAGGAGGAAACTTTCCGTTCATGCAAGCATGTGGCATTACTATGTAGACATGATAGTCCTAATGACATTATGATTTACTGTTAAACGTTAGGAATGAATGTGGATTTCTTGGGCAAATGTACGTGTGATATTTGATAGCTTAATGTTATTAGCAGTTGGTATTAAATACACTTTGAGAACCCAAGTGAATAGCTACTTGAGTTGGTCCATGTAATTATTTTGGTAAAAAATGGACTTGATATTTGGGTTGATATATTTTGGAAATGTAAGCTAATTTTTTTTTTCTTTAAGCTTGCGTGACCAAGGACCCTTTTGTGGCGATGAAAAGTGAGATGAGCAAATATGCTCTTATAAAAATCTTGTGAGCAAAATGAGTTTCTTCATGAACTCAATTATTTGAGAAATGTGAAAAATTACATATTTGAGATGCTCTTAATGTGGGGGATTGTGATATCCCTATATATTATTATTGGTGATGAGACCAATGATGCCTAATTGAGATTTTGCATAGCATTCCTATTATACAATAAGGTGTAATGGTGCTTAAGAAAGTAAATGTGATATGCACTCCTATTATACAATAAGTTATAATGATGCTTAACAAAATAAATGTGATATGCATTCTTATTATACAATTATGATATAATGGTGTATGATAAAAAAAAATAATAAGGCACTTGAGAAAAGGGGTATGTGATGGACATTCCTATTGTACAACAAGGTACAATGGTGTTTGAGTTAAAAATTATTAAATACATGTTTTGACATGTATGGAAAGAAAAAGGTGGTTTACTAGCTCGATATCAAAAATTGAGAATTTGAGAAATATGAATGTGAATTTTATGAGTTAGCAGACAAGTGGGTTGATGTGAAAAAGTGAGAATAAGAATGAGTTAAATCTCTTTGTTACCCACTACACCACCAACTAGGCCTTTGGCAAAAACAAAAGTTGGAGGAAAATCTATGATCATAGTCTAAGGTCTAGTGCTCATTGAGGGGAATGGGATTCAAGCCCAATAATGTGGAACTTCCTATGAAGATACCCAACCCGAATTCTAAGAATTGGGTTTCGAATGGGAAAAACGAATCATAGAGAAGTCGTTGTTGAAAGATGTATTAATATTTAACGAAAAAATTTTCGGTCCCATTCCTAAGGTGAGGATGCATCGATCCCATAACGAATTGAGGGTTGAGTTTTATACTCTTAATGAAATTTGTAGCTCATAGAGTGGGGTGTCTTAGTTATGGGAGCATCATTGACAAATTTCACCTATATGGATGTCGGAGTGGGGCCGCTCCTATGAGAATAGGGCTATTCTCTAGATCATCCATGAATATCAGGATTAGGCACAAAGGCCGTAATGTGCCGGCTTACAAGCTCAAATTAACACCTGGATTATAATGTGTGTAATATGGTCTCCTATATCCTCTAAGTAGTCCTAGTTCAAGACTTTG